GTAGTAGCGATCTATATCATAGAGGGCTTAACATTTCATTCAAGATCTGATTTATATATACGTCGTATCGGATTCGTATGAGTGAAACTTGATATTAATAAGTGTAAATTTCTTCAAGGAGGTATTTATAGACCCCCAAAGACTCCAACAATCAACATGCTTCTTGAACAGTGTAAAGATCAAACATTTGCCGAGAGATCTCTCTATATGTTTACGGATTCCAGGCGAATTTAAGATAAATGTTTTAAATTCTATTTTTTACAAACTATATACTATCGTATACTCTTTTACAATGCAGAGCAACTCAATTCGACATCAACTCATTTTTAAGACAGCTCTTGTTCACTACTCGATATTATGTTCGTTGAGAGCACAAATCCCATCCTTACACGTGTTGTTGCATCAAAATATTATGTGCTTTCATTTCAAAGATAACAAAATTCCTGTATATACTTATTTACTTATTTAAGAAATGCAAGGAAGATCTGATTTACATGTATGTTGAACATGTTTTGCTTGTCATTAAAGCTTTCCGCGCCATAGGTCGCACCTTATTTCATATTATCATAATAAATGCCACAAACACCACATGAATTTCGATCTCCAGGCTTGTACGTGGATGAAAACTAAAAAAAAAACGTACAAACGCACCTGCAAAAGCAGAACAGATAAATACGGTGTCATTTTGGCAACGCTTTAGAAATATCAGAGGTGCAGTTACCAAACAAATACGAAAAAGTAAAAATGAATCTCAAAAAAGATTAATTGAACAAATAAATTCATCAAATATGGCATTGAAAGATTAGTTCAAACTGAAATAATCTTTCACACAAAACATCAATCCCAGTCCTCATTAATAAAGGGATTTCGGCAAATACTGACAAAGATAAGGTAGAAATACTGAATAATTTGTTTTGCTTACAAATTAAACATGCACGTTCAGGATAAACAACTTCCAAATCTGAACTTACATACTAGTAGATACAGTAGATCAAATTATCCGTCAAAGCCTATCGGCCAGATCTTATTCATATCTGTTTACTGAAGATTATCTATTCTAGATCTGTTAAACCACTTAACCACTGTGTGCATTTCAATAAGTTACTTTCAATATCTGCTTTTCCTACTTCTTGAAAAATTGCTAGTATCTCAATAAGTTACTTTCAATATCTGCTTTTCCTACTTCTTGAAAAATTGCTTATATTACTACTATTTTTGAAAAGAATTATACACTACATAAGCTTCCGTGCCTCCGACCTACCGACCCATTTCCCTATTAAGCTGTATATGTGGACTAATTGAGTGGTGCAATCACAAATACCTGTACAACTATGTTATTAGTAACAAACATTCTACACCTAACCAATCCGGTTTAGTCGAAAGAGACTCCAATTTAAACCAAATCACATTCATATACAACGACATCTGCAAGGCTTTTGAGCTTAGAGACACGCGTTTGATTTGTTACATCTCTCAAGCATTTGACATGTTGTGGCATCGAAGTTTTATTACATAAGCTTTCCCCTATTGTAATATTGTAAGAAAAACGTCTCCCTTTTACTGTGTTCATTTCCTATCTCTCTGGCGGCAAACAACACGTTTTACACACAACTGGTCATAAAATAATGCCGGTGTATCCCAGACTCGATCATTGAACCTTTGCTTTTCTTTATGTATATGAAAAATGTTGTTGACGATGTAAATTCAATTATGACGAAATCCCCATAGATGCAGCCCGGCATTTGAATGACAACCCTAAGAGACTTCGCAAAGGCTTGGCTGTTGACTTTTAACCACTCAAAAACAGAATCCATGATATTTTGAAGGAAAATAAAACAAGTAAATCTTCCCCTAATTCAAATGAATTGAATTTCTATTAAACATGTACAAAATCACACACATTTTCGTGTGATCCTCGCGTTTAACGTCTTTTGATTTGTGTTTATATGTTTTTTTTGCGTTATTACGACTTTTGTTTCGCGTTTGATTGCTTTTTATAAACGTTATTTCGCCTTTATTTGCTTTATGACGTCATTCGTTTTCCGTTACTATTCCTTAATTCGCTTCATTGCGCCTTTTCACGCATTATTACGCCTTTTGTTTCGCGTAATTACGCCTTTTGATTCGCATTTTAACGCCTTCACAATATTTAACTTCATTTGATATCGTTAGTCTTTCGAGGTGTTTACCTTCGAAGCATTATACAATTATTTGAGTGAAGAGCTGTACAGATTTTATTATGAAATATACACGCAATATTCACCTCCAGCTTGAATATCAGTTTTTTTTTTTGTTTTTTTTTTTTTTTTTGTTTTTTTTTCAATTTCGATCTCCAAGCTTGCTCGTTTTTCAACTCAAGCACATAATTCAATTAATTTAAAAGTTAATTTTGAGTTTCGATATTAGAGTCGGCTTGAAATTCAACTCTAGTACAAAATTAAAATTTTATAAATTTCGATCTTCCATCTGGTTTGAAATTCAAATTCAGCACATAACTCAACTAAGATTAAATTTAAATTTCGATGTTCGAGTGCTCAAATCTTTGAATTTCGATATTTGAGCTAACTCGAAATTCAACTGTAGCACAAATTCCTCTTTGAATGATTTTGGAATTCGATCTCCAAGCTGGTTGGAACTGCAACTCCAGCACGAAGTTCAGATGTGAACTAATTTAAATATCGATTTTCGAGCTGGGTAAAAATTCAACTTTAGCATGAATTTCGTCTTTGAATGATTTTATATTTCGATCTTCGAGCTGCCTCGATATTCAACACCAGCACAAAATTCATCTCAATTAAATATCTACCTTAAGACCTGCTATAAATTAAACCATATCGCAATATTAAAATCATATTAATATTATTCGATCTTTGAGCTGGCTCAAAATCCAACGTAAGCACATAATTCAACATCTGTAAGGTTTGGATTTGATCTCCGAGCTGGCACAATATTCAACTCAAGAATGAATTCAGCTTTTTTATATGATTTTGAATATCCACTCTTATCAAAATCAGATCATCACTTTCGCGTCATTACTTTTGACTACCTAGGCGACAGTTAAGATAAAATTTTAGTGAGATTGTTGAATGTCGTTCTTCAAGCTAGCTCGAAATTCAAGCTTGAATGATTTTGAATTTCAATCTTCGTACTGGCTTGAAATTAAAGTCTAGTATGAAATTTGGCTTTGAGTGATTATGTTACTCGATTTTCGGGCTTGCTCGAATTTCAATTCCAGCACAAAGTCCAGCTATGAATTATTTGAATTTCGATCTTCGAACTGGTTTGAAATTCATTCTTTCGAATTTTAATCTCTGAGCTGGCTCGAAATTTAACTCTAGAGCGAAATTATGCTTTGAATTATTTTGAATGTTGGTCTTCGGACAACCTTGAAATTCATCTCCAGCTCGAATTGCATCTAATGTACTGAGCTAGCTCAAAATTGAACTCAAGCATGAAGTTTGGCTTTGAATGGCTTTGATTTCGACCTTCGAGCAGGCTCGAAATTCAACTCTTGCAACAATTATTTTGAATTTCGATCTTCAAACTGGCTCAAAATTAATTCTAGTATAAATTCATCTTAAATGTTTTTAATTGTAATTTTGAGCTGCCACAAAATTAAACTCTGGCACGAAATTCCACTTTAAATGAGTTTGAATTTTGATCGGAATTCAACTCCAGTTCGAATTCAACGCATGTAAACTATGAATTTTTATCATTCAACTACCTATAAATTCAAGTCCAGAACGAATTTGGGATTTGAATGATTTTAAATTTCGATCTTTGAGCTGGGTAGAAGTTGAAACTAGTTCAAAATTCAGAATACTTTAAGTATTCAGAATGTTCGATGTCATTGCTAACTCCTCGTTACGATATATAACGGTAATTCTTTCTTTAAAATATCCAGTGATGAATAGAAAGAATTGCTAATTTTACTCCTTAATTTCACCTTTTTGTAATTATAGCCTTAATTTCACCTTTTTGTAATTATAGAAGATGTAAACTGAACATTCTGTGAATAGCCTGTTAAAATATTGCTTGCACTTACGGCAGACTAGAGCCGATTAAAGCCATCAGAAGCGTTTGAGGTTATAAGTGTATTTTGAATTTTAACTTATTTTTGATTCGGACAAGGATTTATCGTCACGTGTAAACACCGAATGTGGCTCATTATTGGTAAAATCCATTAGTTCTAGATCGAGATATAACAAGCCGTTTGTTATATACCTCCAGGTGTTCAAATTTTAATTTTCAACTGTAGCGACATATGAAGTAACTGTGCTTGTACTTTAAATGGTACATATTACATAAATAACATAAAGGATTTCAGACAGATTTTTTTAAAGTTGAATAATACATTACCATGAAAAGTATTATCATAGAGTCATAGAAAGTCAATCATCAAAATAGGTAAAGGCCTTGTATTTATTATACATTTCTGACTTATGAGAAACCTTTTACTTGCATACCTCCCAACTCCTACCACTATGCCACAAATCTATTTGTGATTACTTTATTCCAGTTAAAAGACATGTTTTACATTTAAGTTCTAATTAGTATGCAGACTTATTTACGCCATTTGGTGTTACACCAGACCTGAGTATAGAGCCCCACCCTACAAAACTACCATAATTTAACTTGGAATTACGGTTTATCAAAATCGAAGCACCTATATTTGTAAAACATACTCTGGCAATATTGCCACTGAGCAAGGCACTGACGTTTAATCTTATGTTCTGTGATGATCAACACAAGTATATAACAGTGACACACGTCAAACCAAAGGGCATACGACCTTATTTCAAAGCAAAATTTCTGCAATTTGTTCCAGATTTGAACAAATAATTGTGTTTGTTTTTGAACTACTTTTAATTAAATCTCAACGAGTGTGTGCACTCAAAATGACGAGAAGTAAGCATATGGTGAAGCAGAAGTCGTGATTATTGCACTCGATTAGTTCACACACAAACACATCACGTGACTGACTGATAAATAATGAACTACTTACTAGTACCTTTAGTATAAAAGTCAAATGATATTGAAGTTTCGACTGGATTAAATATTGTTGCAATAACTTACACACAAACATAACAAATATGAAATTTACAATTGTTTTGGCGTTACTCGTCATTTGCGCAGGTAGGTGCTTTATATATTTTACATTTAAATTATTCTAACCGTGATAAAACTTAAATGAAATAATACTTCAAGCTGCAATTTTTGCTAGTCTTATGGACCTGTCTGACTGAGCCTTTTATCTCGTTAACTATTTTATTAATTTTCCTCACGGCCTTAGGTTCGAATACTGTCCTTTATGCACGAATGTTATCGAGCTAGCGTATGGTTCCTTAGATACCAACTGTGTGTGAATGTAGCCCTTAATTTTCATGTATCAGGCCCAGATCCCACGGGGAGTGTTTAAGGGGCTCAAGGCCCCCCTTTCCCCCAGACACCCTGGCTTAAAAACAATTCCTACCAAACGAGGCACAGATAAATGTAAAGCACTAAATACTTGTTTACTGGAGACTGGACCCCTGCTGAGTTTCCTGTCATAAAATTCTTTCAGCTAAAACACTGCATGTCTTTAGGCAATTTGTAAATATTTCTGCTGTACACTGGGTCATCGTCAATTACTCTTGGTCAGTGTAGCGACACATTAAGCGGCTACGTGATACTGAGCAAATTAGCACTAGTACACGATAAATTATAAATAGCCCCCCTTGAATTAAATTATGTTTTTTTTTGTATATATATTCACGTAGTTTTAACTCCTTATCTATATAAATACGGAGATGTAAGTGATGCTAAAGCATCGCTTTTTAAGGTTCATGTTACAACTTGTAGGGCCTATTCCTTTCTAAAGCAGGACCATTTATAGGCATCTGCCCATCTGGAAAATTCTTTTAAAATCATAGTTTTGCCCTGGAATTCAGTAAGGTTTTCTTTCTCATTTCGTTTTGAAAAATGACACGTAATTATAATTTCAACTTCCAAAATGTTTGGAAAAATATGTAGACACTTCCATTTCAAAATGTGCACCTTAAATGCACCAGAAGCCACCATTAAACATGAAGATTTTTTTTCTTAGTGGAGAACCCCTGACCACCTGTTAAATAAAAGACTTTGGTCTAGCCACCCCACCCCCTCCGCCAGTCTAAAATTTCTGGATCCGGCCCTGTTATCAGTTGTGTAATCGTTGCATTAAATGAATCTCTTTTTCCAATCTCTTTGTAAAATGGTCCTTTTTTAATTCTACGACTTAAAACATATTTAGTGGTTGAAATTATTTTGTCCAATGGGATTGCAGTATTTCAGATGAATCGTAATACATTTACTTTGGTAAATTGGCAAACTATTAATAAGTTTAGTAAATTGATTGTTTATTACATAATTCCAAACACTAAATTTGTTTTAATAAGTAAGCATTAACAAAATTTTAAAAGGTCAACAACACTAGCCTATACGTACAATTTCGTATCATAATGTCGTTTGCCGGTATGGTTAACCTAAATAGATAGTGTCAAAAACGGTTTCAGACATTTTCACAGGTTACTCGTACGATAGATGGAAAATGTAGAACATTTGCTATTTTATCTTTCTGTTTGCATTGATATATGTTTAAATAGATTATATATTTATTTTAAATTACATGTTTTTGGTTTTATTGCAAATACAGTATAAGGAATCTTTCTGATTAAATCAATTTTATTTCTAAAAACGAAACAAGCTTGCAACGTTTTTTTATGAATCATAAGATCAAGCTCAAAGGAACGTTTGACCTTGTTATAATTTACGTACAAAATATAATTGAAGAAGTTGACCCGCCCCTGGGGATATGAAAATATGACCTTGAGATTTTGATAGACCTTTCTTGGTATTGCTATGCTAGAGCCTAAGTGAATAAAACAAATCTTCCAATTAATAAAGAAGCGTTTCATGTTATCAAATACACATTGTTTGTGTTTCTTTACAATGGGCATTACTCGGCTCTCCTTGTTATCATATTGTTCGCAACTGTTACAGTAACTGTGCAGTGTTGTACCTTGGACTCCGACTGTAACCACTTGACCTGCGGGACTAGTCAAGAGGCATACTGCCATGGAAACCACTGTCATTGTCATCACGTACATGAATGCACAAGTGACACCGATTGTCATGGTCACTGTAATGCCGGAGGTGTCCCAACTTGCGATGGCCACGGACACTGCCATTGTTACTAAGGTATATCCTAACTTCAATATAATTACATAATTTAATACAATCTTTAAATGAGCTTCGATATGTTCAAACAATGTACACACACATGTATAACGTTAAATTATAATGTTTATCTTATTTAATATCATTGACATTTGGATTTCTTTTTATTTGTAAAATTTGAGCAGCTTTCCGGTAAGTAATTAAACCAATTACATGTGCATGTAGTTCATATAATTTTTTCGAGGATAAAACAAACATTTTTCCATAGTTTGAATTAAACTTTTGATGATTAGCTGTTAAGTTAGTGTAAAGAACTTTCAAATAAAGAATACACATGTATTATTATATTTTCAGGTCTAAGAAGGGAAAGCGGATATGAAATGAAAAATCAAGATATTAAATAACAAATAAATTATACTTATACCACGTTCTTATAGTGTAGTGATGGCTCTTTTCTCTATGTTTAAAAAGTTTCTTTTGTATTTAATCCATCGAAACGTTTATTCTTCGAAAATGTTCCCTATTTATTTTTATACAATTTACTTGTACACGCAATTGCTTGTTAAACTGGCAATCGTTTCGTATAGCGGTTTGATATATTAAGTAAGTATTTTCCTTAATTATACGCAATTATTTATTCATATATAATTGATTTATTTCACCGAACATCTTCAATTTGTGCACCACGTTAAGCTTTGATATCAATGTAATGTATAGTACATAACCTTGATAGTAAAGGCGCTGGCAAAATTTTGTTATACTTTGGGTCCAGGAGATTCATCTAGAAAAGGGCAAAACTTTTTTTCTTTTTCGTTTTGTCGATTTTATGAGTTTTGAAACAAAATATCATGTTTTTATATGATCGCACGGTCATTTTAAATTTTAAGGAAATATATTTTTAGGTAAAATTTGGAGGCCAGCCCCTCTAAGTATTGCTAATGTGTATTATAAATGAAAGCTTGTTACTTTTTTAACATGTCAGAAAAGATAAATTGTCTCAGAAATAAAAACATTTTTATTTTTGCCAGCTGTTGAAAAAATGATTTTGGTAAAGGGGGAAAGAGTATATTTGGATTGAGAATGACTTCGCACTCAAATACCCTGTACACCATAAAAACCAATAGATTTTAATCTTTATGCTTGGTAGCAAGATTGATCAAGGCTTGTAGATGACCCTTTTTGGTTGTTAGGTTAGTAGGATTTTTGACAAGCTCAGCCTTCAATTCAAACTGTCAGGCCATTTACATAAGTATATGATTTTGTTTGCTGTCCTTATTTAGGCATGTAGGTATCGTGATTTTAATGGTTACTAGAAAACCCCTTCAGATTCTGATACCAGTAGGTTGAATGTTAAGGTCACAATGTACTTAAGTTCAGACACTATAGTACAATTAATTTCTTGAGATCTGGTTAGCACGCTGTTACATTATATTGTAAAGGGGTGTCCATGGCCAACCCATATTATATCCCACGAAAAAAGCGGCGGGATATACTCGTATGCTTTACTCTCTGTCAGTCCATCGCCTCGTCCGTCCGTCCGTCCGTCCTTCAGTCCTACATTTTTGTCCGGAAAATAACTCAAAAACTACTTGACAGATTAACTTGAAACTTGAAATATTAATAAATGGACACTAGGAAAAGTACAGTTTCATAAAACCATAACTCAAAATAGTCAGTCTTTTCTTAAATTATGTACCTTTATTTAATTTACTCTAATAAAATATATAATTCGTATAAGTTTATTACTGAATTTATTGAACTCGTTGAGGCTCGCATAATATATTTTTATTTAGCGCGTTCAATAAATCCAGTATTGAACTTACACTCATTCCATATCCTCTATATAAATGATATAATTGATGAAGTGTCTGGGATATGTGTGCTTTTAAGTGTGGACTTTTCAGGAACAGTTTATTTTTTTAATAATATACAAACCAAATGACAAACGAAGCTCGAAGCTCACTTCAAGTAAAGTATGACCTTTTTTTCTTCGAGCTGCCTCGAAATTCAACTCAAGCACGACAATGAGCTTTAAATGCTTTTGAATTTCGATCCTCAAGCTAATTCTGCGCGAAATTTGACTTTGATTGATGTTGAATTTCAATCTCCAACCTAGTTAGAAGTTCAAAGCTAGCTCGAAATTTGGAATATTCTAAATGTTTGATGTCAATGCTAATTTCTCATAACGATATATAACGGAAATTCTTTCTTTAAGAATAGAAAAAGTTGAAAATTTTCCTCCTTAATTTACACCTTTTTCAATTAAAGAAAATGTAATCTGAACATTCTGAGAATAACCTGTAAAGAATTTGCACATACGGGAGATTAGAGCCATCAGAAACGTTTAAGGGTTATTGGTATATTTTAAATGGCTCACTTGAGCCTTAGTAGACAGGGATCTAACGTCACGTGCAAACACCGAATGTGGCCCTGCATTAGTAAAATACATTAGTTTCAAATCGGGATACCCTTATAATAAGCCGTTTGTTATATACGCTCAGACGTTCAAATTATAATTCAACCGTAACGTAATGCTTGACGTTAGCAACATCATTCCAAACCTGTCTACAATACGGAAATTGCTAAAAGTCGGGACAGAAAAAAAAAACAAATGTTGCACATGTATATATCAACTGAAGTATTAGTCTGTGTAAGGGATACTGCATCACTTTCCATTTATTTCTCATTTAAGAAATATTTTGATATTGCATTCCGCATGCGTATACTTGATACTTGAATAATTATCGAAATTTACAATATAGAAATTAACATTTTAGACGCAACTTTACATTATAATTGTTGTTGGTTATAACTAATTTTAGTAAACGTATGCTTACATAATTCATACCAAAGCTATTTGAAATAGGTTATTCGGCCAGTTGTTTGTGTGATAACCTTTGACTTCAAACATGTTCAACTTTAGTGCATATAAGATATTATCTCTCGTCTTATGATTCGTTTTTGTTTGCTGCCACAACGATTATTTTCATTTAAATCAGGTCTTATGAAGTAACTATTTGACTAAAACGCTTGTATTAATATAGTAGCATAAATAAAAGGCTTTTAAACAGTGATCAAATTGAAAGTATACAATTTGTTATAAGCACGAATAGTCTACTACTATTATAGAGTCATAGAATGTCCATTTAAATTTTAGTAAGTGTGCAGGATTATTTACACCATGTTGTGTTTTTTTGTTGTTTTTTGTTCTTTTTTTGTGAGTTTTTTTCTTTTCTTTTTTATTTATTTATTATTTTTTACCATTATTTTATTATTATTTTTAAGGGATGTGATTCCCTTTTTGTACAAAAACACAAAGAAGCGAAAACACGAAGATACGATAGGTCCAACTTTGTCGATTTCTTGTATTTCGAACTTTCGCATTCGAAAAAAAGCAAAAGTGCGACAAAAACACGACACATATTCTGCAACGTTATTACACCTTTTATTTGACTTATCTTTATTTTTCGCATATTTACATTTTCCCTTTTCGCATTAACTCGAAAAATTTGTATAATTTTCAAATTACAGCAGATCTCAGTATAAAGTCCCACCCGACGGACTATCAATATTTTAGTTGAATAAGCGGACGCTAAAACTCGTAACACCTATATTTGTAAAACATAACTTGTAAATGGTACCACTGGGCAAGGCACCGGCTTTTAAACTCATATCCTGTGGTGATCCACAAATTTTCTTTTCAATGACACTTATCAAATCCAGGGACAAACAAATCTCATTTCAAGGCATACTTTTAGCAATTTGTTCAATAATTTGTTTGAACGAATAATTGTCTTTGTTTTTGAACTACTTTTTGTTTTTGAACTACTTTTGATTAAATCTGAACTAATCTGTGCACTCAAATGACGTGAAATAAACATATGGTTAAACAAAAATCGTGATTATTACACACACAAACACATCACGTGACTGACTGATAAAAAATGAACTACTTCCGTTTCATTTAATATAAAAGTCAAACAAGGCTGAGATTTCATTTCAATTCTGTTGCAATTATACACACACATACATAACAAATATGAAATTTACAACGGCGTTGATGTTACTTGTCATTTGTGCAGGTAGGGTGTTTTTTACATGTATATTATATTCATAGTTATGATTAAACTGAAACTGAATAAAACTATAAGGCCTCATTTTTGCTAGTCTTGTGTATATGTGTAGCTGAATGAGTCATGTCGTTATATTTTTGTTCATGACGGTGGCAGGCTCAATTCCACCAGATACATTAGAGTCTCTCATCTACAAAAGCTATCCAGCTAGCGTCAGGTAGATCGATGATCTACTTTTCCGCTTGTTGTGATTTCACTTATCAGTTGGGTTAGTGTTGCTTTATGGAATTATCCTCTATAACTTTTGTTGATGTCTTGAATTAAAAATAGAAAAAACAGAATCCCTAAAATAGCCCAACACGGGAAAATTGAAAATGTTGCAGGCTCGGCTTGATTGAGTTCATGGACGATACTGAAAAGCGCAAGCTTACGTCCACGCCCCTAGCACCAGCACATGCAGATGTCAGCAGTTAACATGAACTGGTTAAACCTTTTATTCTGAAACAACCGCAGCTACGTCCATACGGCGGTTATCGTGGAACCTTCAATTTATGGAACTTTTAAGCTATTTGTTCGATAACATTTATATATTTTCTTATCATCTTATTTAAATAAAAACTACACATTTGACTCGTATGTTACATGGGGAACAGAATATTTAATCTTTGTAATTGCATTGATACATGCTTATTTGATATATTCATTTTTAAAAATTAAAAACATGTTCTTAAAAAATTCTAAATGGGGAAAAAAGACTTCCCCCTGCCAGGGCATATTTTTTTTTATTAATTACTAAATTAACTCAGTTGGGGCGGTTTTCCTTTTTTTGAGCTTATAAAATTTATCGTTTAAGAAAATTTGTCTGCTTCCAGGAGTTAAACAGCGACTTCGAGATTTGAAAACCAAATTTTTTTATTTTTATGCCTCCATAAATGTTACTTTAATTAAAGCCACAGTAAAGGGAAACAAACTTTCTTTTATAAAAAGCGGTTTAAAATAACTAAAAATTCATTGACTAGATTCATCTGACACCCCCTTTTTATATTTCAAACTGTTTTCAGTAAATGTGCATGTTGTACCGTGACTCCGACTGTAAAAATTGACCCCGGTGCTGGTCAAGAGCCATCCTGCCATGGTAACCACTGCCATTGTCAACACGTACAAGCCTGCACAGGAGATGGCGATTGTCATGGTCACTGTAATGCCGGAGGTGTCCCAACATGCGACGACAACGGACACTGTCACTGTAACTAAGGTATACATATTATGTATTCGAACTCTAACATAATTAAATGCGACCTTTAAAATGAGATTAAGTAGGTTTAAAGAATCAGCACGCACATGTGAAACGTTAAATAAATAACCTTGTTACTTCTTATTTAATCAACTTTTATCGTTGAAATTTAGAAATTTTTCTTCTGTAAAATGTGAGCAGCTTTTTGTTAGAAATATTGGAACCAATGATATGTACATGTTATTCATATAATTTCTTCTTGTATACTTATTTTGAATAAAAATATTGTTGATTAGCTATGTAGTTAGAGTAGATAAACTTTCAAATAAAGATTATAATTGCATTATTCTATTTTCAGGTGTAGAAACGAAAGCGGATTCGACATGAAAATGTTAAAATATAATGTAAAAAATAAATTGCACTTATAAAATGGTCTTATAGTGTTAGCTTCTCTCTGTGTTTGTAAGAAGTTTCTGTTGTATTTAATTAATCGAGACGTTTATTCTGCTAAAATGTTCCATTTACTTTCTGGTATTAATTTTGATATATACCAAACACTTTGATACAGCAATTTGATTACTAGCAAAGGCCTGTGACGTAAAATTTGTTGTATCCTTTTATAATTCGCATGTTCAAAAACTACATTTATATTAAGTGTAAGATTCCATATCGATTTAGATATTTTAACATTTTTTCACTTTTTAGGACACAGATTTAGCCTTATCTAAAGGCATCGAAACTGTTTCATTAAAATTTAAAAGGTTAACACAGACGACTTTCATTAATAAACATTGAAACAAAAATCAAGTTGAAACTTCAAAGTTTTCTTAATTGAATAAACAATTCAAAAAAAATATTATTTATTAACTTTTCAATGTAAGGCACGTTTTCACTTCAAATGTAAGGCTAATATGAAGTTCACCTCGACATTATGAACATAAAACAAGGCCATTATGCAAAAAGGAGGTCTTTATGAGAAAACTCGGCTATTATGAGATTTGAGAATGTTGATTTGCTCTCCAACTCGGCCATTATATGAATCTGCTTTTTTTATTGAAAAAGGTCGCCATTTTGAATTGCTGCAAGGTAGGTTTCCGATTATAACGTTACACTACTTGATGCTATTAAAGTATACACTTTTTAACTTTTAATTTAACTCATATATTTAATACAAAACAATTACATGAAATCCCGCGGAAACGGTTTGTGTCGTTTTGACAACATGTTTTACGTATGCGTTTTATTTTTCCGTGGCATACAACTGCTCAGAGCCGAACGACATGTTGAATTTTAATTGATTGATGCAAAAAGTTCAGCCTCATGGTATAGTTTAATAAATATGTTGCAATTAAAGCAGTATTTTGTGTGACCATTTATAAAATGTTAATATCTATTTTACAGAATAGATGTAAGTGCCCGATAACACTTAACTGATAATTATATTTAATATTGAATTAGTATCGACAAACGCCTTAAAATCCAAATAAAATGTATATTTGTCAATTCCAGCACATATCATATATAAATATTTCGACAAATTCAGACGTGGCTCCAAGGTTTGCTGTATTCAAATGCCCCGCCCTTTGAATATGGGAACCAACATATTACCGAATGGCTCCGACTATATAGCCAGACTGGTTCCCATATTCAAAGCGCAGCGTATTTGAATACAGCAAAGATGGGAGCCAAGTTTGAATTTGTCGAAAGATTGTGTAAATGGAATAAAACTGCGATAGTGTTGATGTTTATTTCGCCTGTTGTGTTGTTTATATTGAAGATGAAGTTCAAAACTGACAATTATCGTGGAGTTTAATATGTACTGTGTCGATATATATATAGGATTATGTGGAAATATAGGCAATGGAATAAAATCCGTTATTTAAAAGTAGATTATTTTGTTATTTTGATAGTATGTATTTCATGATAAATAAAACAATGCTACTGTCTTTTGATATCAATTTATCATCTTGGCTGATATGGGCCAAGTAATGTATTGCGCATAGGTAAAATCGGGCTATAACAAGAGCGCGTGACTCTGTTGACACACGGTTTTGTTTCCGTTAAACATGAGCAAAACAGGGGGAAATAGCCGACTTTATACAATGATAAGATTTCAGAAATTCCTTTAAACCTCGGGACGTCTCTATCAATTCTGTTCCGGATAAATATTCTTCCATCATGAAATATGAATAAACCGGAAATAGATCTTATTGTGTACAATCAAATGAAGAGCATTTAATGTTTTCTCTTACTAACTTTTCAAAAGCATCATACTTTAAAACATACTTCCGCTGTCGTCATCCTCGCTTTGGAAGCAGCACACCCTGTGTGGACTGTTTCGAGAGCTATAAATGTAGTGTTTGTGTTTTAAGTCTACAGAGTAAATATCGAGCTTATCATGTGATCAGGTGCTACCTATGACGCGGAAAGCTGGAAATTATAAGTAAATGCAGGTATTTTGTAAAGTTAATTAGATATGAATAAATTGGTGATGTTCAACCTATCATTGATGTCCTGTAAGTGTTTCCAAATATCTTGTTCGCCGCGTTTATTAATCACTTATAAGATATGTTGTTTTACCATATTTAATCGTGATGATTTATAAAAATGGATATAAAAAATAACTTTTATGTTATCATCGAACTATAGTTCATATCAATGATATTAAAATTTATCTACTGATTTTCTACATCATAATATGTATTTCTACCGGAAGTGTAATTTAGGACAGTAATTTGCGGCGTCTTCTAGTAACATTCTGAATTGTGTAATTTCAAAAGCGTCCTGCAATCTAAATGTAGCTCAAATATAGAACCAGTCCAGGATTTGGTGGCACCCTGCTAAGCATTTTTTCAAACTTGTTAGACTAAGACCAATATTTTTTATTGATTTTTATCTGATTTCAATTTGACTAACTTCATACGTGTTGTCTAAGAGCGCTTCAACCCTAGAGGGGCTTACAGCCCTGCCCGGACTTTCCATGTATAAGACATCGGATTCCTTTCTGCCATGCACAAATTAGAACTATTAATCATTTATATGGTAGCTGGATAGCTTCATGTTGGTTTTGAATATATTACAAATATATCTAAAAACATTTTTTAAGGATTTTTTGAACTCCTTTGATATACACGACAGTACTTAAGAATCCTGAGATTTAATTTATGCTTAATAATATTTAATTGACTAGAATTGTAACAGGAAATACAAAACATATTATAGGACGTGCAGCAGGGTCATTTGTAGATTTGACCTCCCACGTCAATGCCATTCTTTTCTGAAAAAAGAAACGTTTAAAAATAATTATTACATTCGGGTTCATCCCCACCACACAGAACTTGAAATTGTCATTCTATTTACAACTAATGGTATCTGCAAAAGTATAATTATGTAATTAACTTTCTAAATAAAAGTAACTATACAATTTGTAAGATTTCATGTTGGAAAATAGACGCCGCAGCGCATCAAATATTATAACCAAATTGCCGATAAAGGTTCACTATTCCGATTTTTGTAGGTGCATAAAAGGAACAATGAAAATCTTTTAAAAGAAACCCGGCCGAAGTAAACCTGCTTTTACTTGCATAGGTTATTTCGGCGTTTTTGAATTCATAAAAAAATAATGTTTGCTCAGCGTGTGTTTATAGTAATGACAGTAATTAAGTTTCCAAATTCTAAGTTGCTGAAAATACGTTTACCACAATTGACATAGCATTTATTGGTTTGATCTAGGAAACACTGTAAGATACCTTTGAAATTGTAAATGATATAGTCTTGTACAAATGTATCTAATATAGACGTATTCATGAACACATTAATTAATATGTACTTCTTTAATATACAAAGTAAATACATGTAGGAGAATCACAAAATTCAAATCAGTTAAACACATAAATAATCATACATGTAGAACATCACGAACACGGAACAAAATTATGCTTACAGTACCAGAAAATGTTGTTTTTTATGTGGTGTCTTTTTGGGTATTTCCATGCACATGAGTTTTCGGGATCGTGAGTGCCATTGGTGGTCTCGTTATTTTAGACAAACCTTATAAAATGTCATTTTTATGTGGTGTCTTTCGGTGTTTTTATGCACATGAGTTCCAGGATCGTGTGTGTTATTTGTAGTATAGTTATTTTAGACAAAACTTATAAAATATCATTCAGTTAATGCCTATTTTTAATAAACTGCACACTGGATAAGTATTGATATTTTAAACGCAGTGTTTACTGTTGCAAAATGTTTAATGGGAGGAAGCACAGTTTACAGGTCTAAAATATCCAAGAAATTTAACTAGAAACTTTGTTTTCGAAACACCTTTAGATCATTTAGGAAAAACGATGTATATACGATTCAGAAAGATCCTTTAGATTATTGTACTAGTTTTAGAATGGCCAATGAGATTCCTATATTTCATTTTGTAATTTTAAAATGACCATTGGACTTCAAATCTATCTTAACTTCAGTTCTTCCACCATTCTCAGACTGACTTCGTCCAAACATATTTTGAAAACTTGCAGCTATCATTGCCTTTGTATCAGTAAGCAAATATACCGAGTTTAAAAAATTGGTCATCTAAGAGATCACATTAAACCCCCCTTGCGCAGTATTTCAGACAATAGAAAGCCCATGTGTAGAACTATCGACATTTGTAAGCCAGCTGGGTGGTTAGCAAGTGGAAGTTAAACACCCCGCAGCGATGGCAAGCAAATGAGAAACCATACACTTTCCATCGTTAAGTCGACTATTGTAAAGCTTGTCATTTGTATAGAAATGTGTTTTAAAATAAAGCAAGAAAACAAAATAGATACCGGATTTATATATGGAATGGTGACAGTTGCTTTGTATGTCTGTTGCAAGCCAGCTTGTATTGGGCATTTCACACTTTGGATGCATGCGTCGTTTGGATTAATGTTCAACATAATAACATCTCCAAAACCAGTTACATCGCCACCCCAAACATGATAGGCTCTGTCATGATTCACCTCTATAATAAACGTTGATACACATTGCTTATAACATTCAAATTTAAAGTGCATGATTCATCCTATATTTAATAGTCTAACTCCAGAAAATATTCCCGTGAAATAGGTCAGTATTTGGATCCGTTAGTCAGATAAACATCCAATATATTTTCATACATGTAGCTGCCTTTATTAATGAATAGATGAGTTTAAAAGTGGCTATGCATCATTGTTATGATAACGCTCTTGAATTGTTGCTAAGTAAACTTTTAGAAGATACCTCTGATTTTCAAAATTGCAGAATAACGAGAATCTAGGATAGTTTAAGATATTAAATAGCATACTTGCTGTGAAATTAACCCATACTGTATAGTTTTGTCCAATGTTCATTGCGCACGGTTCTGATGCACATGGCTCCAGAGCAATCGAGTGAACAGTTGCAGTTGAACCTTTAAACATAACATTAAAGCTATAAATAACACATCGTCACGCGATAAAGACAGCCTATTATAAACCGCTGCATTAGAATATTTCATTGAACATTAAAATTCTTTTACAAAATTTAAGATACACGACTTTAATATTTTCGAATGCCTATTTCATCAAAAAAGCAAATTTAATTTACTGTTTTCGATTCTATGCAATAAGAGACTTATGCTGTGCTCGGCGTTGTCATTAAAAAAATTTATAAAGACATTCACGAGTAATATAAGTTGTAAACTGACCATAAATTATGATAATATAATAATCTATAATACACCTCATTATAACTGTAAACGAAAAAGATTAAAGACAAATTTTCGTTGTACTGTTTTCAGGGATTATACTTCTTCTAAGTCAATTGCTTGCATTAGAAATTAAGGAACGATTTTGACCTATTTTCGTATTGTTCTTTATATTAAAGTTGGTAAATTAACATTTGTCCTATTATTATTATTATTATTATTATTATTATTATTATTATTATTTTTATAATATTATGTATTTTTAGTAGAAGTAGCAGTAGCAGTAATAGTAGTTGGTAGTATTTGATCTGAGAAGATAACGTAATTTTATATATAGTGCCGCTTACATGATATTGAAAATGAATAACATTTGTTTGTGTATCTACTTTCTTGAATAATATTAGACAAAATATATAACGAAATATTGGAACTAGTTGTTTACATTTTATAGCGACAGGAGGAAGATTTTACTTTTGTTTGTTATATTAACAATTACACACTGTTGAATCTTTGTAATACAAAACTTTATATTTAACGGTTGCATCCGTCCAATTATGCACTTTGCTTTGTAGTACTACATTTATATTATATGTGACTTATGGTTGAGATATTCAAATTATAATATTTTATAAATTAGTGTACTTTATTCCAAATTTTTACAGTTTTCTGTCTGTTCTTTTTTAGCTGCATACAATAAATTTTACTGAACTCTCAATTTATTTTATGCTGAATATAGACATTTTGGATCATGTTAGTTGAATATGATCTCAATTATACATACTAAAAACGCAGTGCCTTTTATATTCCGACGAAAGTTTGTCAGTTCAACAACAAAGCAAGCATAAATTAAATTACAGAGAATAATTAACATGTTTATAATCCAATCATTATGGAATGCTTCCCCTTTTGAAGTGAGAGACGTAATGTCATAATTTTCCTAAAACACGAAGTCATAATCTCTTTTTGTCGCATATATATAAATGTACTATTTAAATAAAAGCATACTTACCACAGCTTATGTATTTTAGTTGAACAGCGACTGTACTTGAAACAAGATATACAACCAACAAAGTAATTATTTTGATCATATTTACGCTATCTTTCCTTTAAAAGACATGCAATTTGCACAGGTAAACGTTGCGTGGCCATGACTTACACTATACCCCCGTTCCCCCTCTACAACCCAAAACCCTAAAAAAAAATTAAAAAAAAAAAAAAAAAATTTTTATGACTAAAATATTGTAAAGGTATTTTACTCTACTTTCATTTTGCATAGAAATATCACTAGCATCTCAATTATCAGCGCATATATTCATCAATTTTTCACCGATCTTAACAATCTTGGTGTAAAATCTTAGACAAATGAATACTTTTTAAGGAAACAACACTGACACCTTCGCTGATTATACGTAGCAAGAAATATTCAAGTCAAAACTGTCAATAATTCTAACTCGGAAGAGATCTGATTGCACCGTTTTGGTAAAACATTCACGACTAAAACACTCTAAATTCATAATTAATGCACAAATTGCAGCGGCAGATGTTTCAAGTCTATCAAATACAATTACGCTCCGTACTTAAATTATCTATAAATCTATTCACGTAAAGAAACGAACCTGTTTTCTCAGCGGTTTGTTTTCAATCGTCCTGCAGCAGCCATGCCAGTACAATGCGCATGCTCGTGGAGATTTGTAACACAACGTCTCATTGGTCAACGACGGAGGTGTGTCTGGGCCCGGCTTTAGTATAACGTATTGGTGAAAAACAGAGAACCATGATTATGCACACATGTATGTCAACACACGAAAGATGGAGCTAAACACTGCACAGAATCAGGCGCTTAAACATGTTTTAAGTGGTCACAATTTACTTCTTCTTGGGGCAGCTGGTACTGGTAAAACGTTTTTATTAAAAAGAAATCTTAGTCCTTTATTAAAATTTAGGGCAATTATTACATTTTATTTCTAAATATTGCATGTATTTTTGTAGAATAATGCATCGACAGTACATCGTGTTTGTCAGGCATCGTTTTTATGGTAGGCCGCTTATCAGATATTAGAAATTGAATAAATATTGTTCGTTTCATTTTTGAATAATAAGAATATGTAACCAGACTGGATGTACTGGTTTTTAATTTGACGAGAGCTCCATGTTAAAGCAAATAAATGTTCGAATCTTTAAATAATATGCAAATTAAAGGTATCCACAGCCTTTTCTTTGTGTAGGTATTCAATTTATATGTCAGGTGACTTTAACAGTTGACCAGTTCAAATTAATATTTATGGAGAAGAAGTTGTTTTTTTTTTACAAGTGTTGTTTTTTAAACAATTTGCTCACAGAACTTAAAATGACTGAATAAAAACGGATCAGATAAAAGAAATTGATTTAAAAGGCCATTTCGGGACGATAAGGAATTGTCAGTTAACAAAAGCAAGAAATTTTTATAAATGTTTAAACTCAATCCTTATGGAATGCCTATAATTATTGCAAGATGAGAGCAAGGGATTTTATATAACAGAAATCAAATAATTGACTTTTGGTCAGTTGAAAATGAATTTGCATACTCATGAAGCCTATCAGGAAAGCACCTTAACAAGATATTAGACCCAAAAATTATTGGCTTAAATAGTTGCGCCATTATTTCCTTTAGTAACCCATGCCAATTTGCGTAAAGGGTTGCGTGGAATATACTATACACCAGTTCCAAAACAAAACCGGAAAAAAAAAATAGTGGATTTTCCATCTTTTAAAGTTTTAAAATCACTAGAAAGTTTGGGATTTTCTGAATTTTACCTTTATCTTGATGTATTTAAGACTGGAAAAACATGACATCCATTATACGTGCAAGAAAATTTTAAGCCTTCAATAATTCTAATCGAAGAGTCTTTACTTTTAAAATTATCATAAAAACATCACAACATATTAATGCAAAAATTTTGACGGCGAGGGTTAAATTCTTCAGTAAAAATTAAAGATCCTTTATTATTAAATATTAAAACTTCAACGTAAATAGAAACAGTTTTACCAGCTTTTTTTCAGGATATCTTTCTGCAGCAACATAATTAAATGCGATCTCGTATTTTGTACACCGTTTTGGTCACCCAAACACTGATGTGCGGGGGTTAAAGTTTAAGTTTGAAAAAAGAGCTTTTGCAATGAGCAACAAAACGAAAGGAGTTAACACTGGATAGGTACAGTATTAATTTTTTAACCATTTCTAAATTAATTATTTCCAAAAATTACAATACTATTGATAAATATTGATCAACAATTTATTGGTGCCTACAACCATAACCATTGATCAACAAGAACATGCCAATTTGATTCAAATCAGTAACAAGAGTAAGATTATGTATAAATTCATAAGCATTAATATATTTATAAGCCATTTTTTTTTATTAAGTTACACAAGTGAAAAAGGTTTAAAGCACTTTTTTTATTTACATTATTAATACTACTTCTTTCTTTTTTTGAATGAATGTCAGAAAAAAGTAATAAATAAAAAAAAGTATCTTTATTTTAATTTGTTACAGTTTGGAGATCGACTTCGTCAGATATTCAAGCCAGTTACCTCGAAGTGCCACTAGAAAGGTTTAGATTTTCTGGTATGTATCTTTATCTGATGTATTAAGACTGAAAACATGGTCACATTAAACTGTGACATTTTAGCCTTGTCAACTATTCATGCACATTCTGCATACAGTCTTTAACTTAATTATTATTAATGAACATCATCAACCATAGTAAGGTAAATTTGACTTTGGCTTCATTTCTTTCAGGAAAATAAAAGATATTTATTATTGAACTATAATAACTTCAATAATAAAATATGATAAAAGTCAGTTATATACCATTTTTTTTCTTATGGGAAATTATGAGTTTCAGTATAAAATTAAATGTGATCTTTTTTTCAGTTTTTAGTCCATCCCGAAACACTGATGTCGCCGTAAGAATTCAGTTTCCAATAAAATTGAGTTTTGCAATGAGCATACACAAGTCACAAGGATTAACACTGGATAGGTACAGTATTAATTTTTTAACCATTTCTAAATTAATTATTTCCCAAAATTACAATACTATTGATAAATATTGATCAACAATTTATTGGTGCCTACAACCATAACCATTGATCAACAAGAACATGCCAATTTGATTCAAATCAGTAACAAGAGTAAGATTTATGTATAAATTCATAAGCATTAATATATTTATAAGCCATTTTTTTTATTAAGTTACACAAGTGAAAAAGGTTTAAAGCACTTTTTTATTTACATTATTAATACTACTTCTTTCTTTTTTGAATGAATGTCAGAAAAAAGTAATAAATAAAAAAAGTATCTTTATTTTAATTTGTTACAGTTTGGAGATCGACTGTCGTCAGATATTCAAGCCAGGACAATTGGGAGTTGCTCTTGGACGGGCTCGAGAAACAAAAGGTCTACGAGTGATAAACTTTAATGTAAAGAAAAGTGTAATTTCACAACCTGCTTGTGTCATGAATTTCATGCAAAAAGTATCTGCTGACTTTCAAGAGGATAGAAGTTGTTGCAACAATAAACAACAAAGGTATGTATTTTTAAAATTGTTCACTTACCAAAGTTCAAAGCCCAGGAGTCATCAGGTACCTTGGTACAGTGTGTATTCCATGCAGGATTTCTGGTGACATCAAAAGATGATTGTCATAAATGGTTAAGTATATTAGGTACTGGATATGCACATATATTCAGATGAACATCATATTGCTACTCACGGTTGAGAATGTCATGATAATTTTGATAGTCATATTCCATATAATCTATAGGACAATATGTCATTTCTGACCGCCTCCGTGGTCTAGGGCTTAAAGTTGATGACTTCTAATCCATTTACCTCTCTGGCAAGGGTTCTATCCCCGGGAGATGCTTTAGTAGTTTAGCACGAAGGAAGGTAGTCTAGTACTGGTGTAACTCTCCAGGAATGATGGTTAGATAACACCCGCCTATATGACTGAAATACTGTCGGGAAAAGGCGTAAAATGAGACAAACAATGTCATTTTTACAGGTAAATTTACTTCCGGATAACTTTGATTTTCACATAGTCATTATGTTCAGACTTTCTTTTTTGAGCTGGCAGTTGCTTGCTTAAGGTACAATTATAAGGAATAGCTGCAGATCGATTTTTCCCTGCATTGGCTTTCTGTGACACTGTTGTTTGGCCCAAAACAATACTATTCAATGCTTGTCTATATTGTTGAGCATTAGGGTTAGAGTTGGCACCATGGTATGTTGACCTCTGTTGATTAAATGTATTTTCAATTACATCAGAGTTTATGAGACCAGGAGTGATGTAAATTTTGGTTGCCTTACTTAGAAGTTGTTTTGCTAATTGATAAAAGCCAATAATACAGGCTTGAATATCTTCATGACATTGTGCTGACAAAATCTGCCTTTGTCTATCCTTTGGAGGTATGGAAGTATTTGACAAAGAATTAACTTTCCAATCCTCAAACCATTTTGCAACTTTCAGTAATTCTTCAAGCCTAGGATCATCCAATGATTTTAAAGCACGCATATCCTTGAAGATTTGTATTAATTTAGAAGTATGTCTCAAAAATTCAATTGTGCCATTTAAAACAGAACCTTTAGCCCCAAGACTATTTTGATATTGAAGCATAAGATGCAACATATCTGTATCCAGGACATCTTCTGCCAAATGGTTGCGCATTTTTAGCTGATTTGTAGGGTATATATGATCATTTGTAAGCTTTCGATGTAGTTGAAATGCATTTAATTTATCCCATTTGTAACAGTCAGTAAACATCTGCCACTGAACAGAATCTGAATTTGGTAGTGTCAATAATCTGGTTGATGTCTTGAAAATGCCACTTTTTAATACATTGTTTCTAATTTTCTTTATTACATGTTTGCAATCCATAATAAATATCATTTGTCCAAAGGTACATGGGCAGTTACATGTAAAATTCTTCTCTGCACTTGTATTAATATGCATAAATGTTCTATTGCTTTGTGCACCATCCATGCATGTATAAACAGCTTTAAAGCCAAACTGACTAAGGCGATCAACAGCTTCCCAGAATAATGGGTACAGCTCAGGCGCTTGAACATTATCTGATATAAAGTGAGCAAACGGAAATCGAAAACCATTTATACCAAGAAAAACAAACTGTAATGCATGGGTACCTAAGACTTTCTCATTTTTTCCTTTTCTCATTGTATGACAAATATTGCCTTCCTCCCCAACATCCATAAACCCAGCAAGCTCTATAACATCATTATTTTTACATATTTGTATGTCTGCCTGAATTGACATTTCATCAATAATAATGCCGCCAGTGTAACCTTCTTCTGGTATGCTTCTTCTTTTGGCTTCTTCAAACATCCAATCAAATATGTTGTTGTCAAAGCCAGTATGTTGTTTTATTCGGTTTTTGTACTGTATCAATGTAGATTTGGAAGGTAACACAAGATATTTGCTTGCTCGGAAATTTTCATATGCCTGTGGACTTTTACAGTACCACTGTAAACAAACATTAATCATACCTTCTGTCCAGCGCCTACCCCTTGGATCCTTACATACATTATTGGCTTGACTTAATATTAGTTCAACCATTTCATCAGTTGCACATGGAATTAATTTTTTAATGTCTTCTTTCACACAATTATTAGTTGACTGTTGTGGTGTTTGCACAGTATTGTTTACATTTGGTAATGTCTTTGTGTTTGAGTTGTTGCTGTTTTCCTTATCCTCGTTGTTTTCATGAATCAATGTCATCTTCTGGCATTTAATACAAGTACTATTGAGTGCATTAAATGTAATAACTCTGCTACACAGTTTTTGATCTCAGAATTCTTTTGCTGCTCTCCCCTGATCTCCAATTTTCAAGAATGTGAAATCTTGTCATTATAACATTTTTGGATACAGGCACTCCTTCACATAAATTCACCTTTCTGGCAGCAGTCAGTACAGTTTTTATTCCCTTTGTGTCTGATTGATATGTATTTGCTATCATAATTTGGTTAAGATTAACATTTTGGTCACTTATATCCAACCTCCACTCACCAGTATCCATGAAGGTAATTACTTTGAGAATGCAATTACCATTACTTTTGCATAATGTATCAATACAACACTTTACAATATTTGATTTTTCTTCAATAATTTTAATGTCATCTCCACTATTAGTAAGAATGTCCTTTACTTTTACAATATTCACATTTTCATGGATATTCATATCAACAGGTACCTTTATTATTCCTGTGTACTGTGTCAAAGTTGACTTTCTTGACATCTGAATCCTTTTTTTCTCAACATTTGGATATATTTTGATAATGTGGTCAACCAGCACACGTTTTGAGGCAATGTTTTTATTACCACACTCTTCCATTTCAAACTTGTAAGCATCATATAGACCCTTTCATTTAAGACCGTATTCAAGTTGTCGCCCTTGGATGACGTCATTGGGGGATACGGTGGACAATGCCGATACGATTAAGTACAATAATAGAGGGATATAAAGATCTTAATCCTTTCTCTTGTAAGATTGGCAGATTGAAATTGCCAAAATTTTGTGTACTTGAATAAGATATTACATAAAAAGGATGGTGAAATGAATAAAAATGTTTACTATAATAAGGTTAACGATTTGTTTTAATAGTAGACCATATTGATTGGTAACTGATTATAATTATGATTACCATTTTCGTTAGATTCTTAAAATGAAAATTTTACCAGGCAGTTAAATCGCACTAACTTGCTAATACCAGAGATATAAATAGTGTATCTATGTAATATACCATACCTAAAAGACATTTTGAGTTTCAAAAATGTAAGGATTCTGAAGTTTCGAAAAACGGCTGTGTAATAGTTAATTGCAAGATACTGGTTTATTAAAAATCATTTTGATTTAAGCATTACTAAGACAAAGAAAAAGAACAATATAAATCAATGTAATTAAAAAAAAATGTAAAGGATTCTTTTGAATGTACATGACTGTATACTACTTGTGTCGGCAAAAAATGCACTCTCAAAAAAAATCGTACTTCACACCAATATATTTAAGCTGGTAAAGTAATATTTTCAACTTGACACTTTTTAATTCATGCTCTGCTTATCAAATATTTAAAAAAAAATCACCAAAAAACCCCAACAAAAACAAGTTGTGAAACACGTTCACAGAAATTCGTTATTAACTGAATTATGATTTAATGTATTTTTTTTACTGTGCCAGTTGGTAGGACTCTGGATCGAGTATCAAATAAGTAAGGCATGACCAATAAAGTCCCTAGGATGATCCATAACAAAATTCGGACCATAAATATTTTGACAACTAACAAAAGTGACGTAATCTGATGTAATGTTATAACTCTAAAAAATGCATCCTGGTGATTTATGATATCACAGCCAGTTGCTGCTTGTATATACAACATATGCACCCTGTTAATTAATATGTTACGGCCCAGTGGCGCTTAAACACATCTATTTATCTATGAAATAAGTAATTGGGAAAAGGTCTATAGTTTTATAACCATAAGAATAAATTTTTAATGTCAAAATTATCTTATTATCATCTGTTGCGAATCTAAAATTATAAAAGTCAATGCCACATGTATGGTTTTGGTTCTTTCCGGAATATTTATAAAATTATATCATTCACTGGTTCTTTGAAATATTTGTTTTATACGGCATAATGAAAAAGAATCAGTAAGTATTGACAGAATGCATTCTGTTATTGTTCTATTAAAGCTTGTAAAAAAAGCATTAAAAAACATTGGCAATCTTATTTTCATGTTTGTCATAAATACGCCGGAATTTTCTAAATGACAGAAGAAAAAAACACAGCTAGAAAACTAGAATATGGCCATTTAAATTGATAATAGGCAATTTCAGTGTGAATGGGTGTTTATAAAATATCAAAATTTGATTTAATTACTAGCTTTTTTATCCTGGCATTAGAGAAAATCTAGATCTAATCAATTTATTCACTTTGAAATTTCGCTGTTTCACTCCGTAGCGAGAATAAATCACAATCTTTGTTTTTGTTTTTTTTTCTATTGTCTTGATATTGACATTATGTATGCATGAGTAAATTTATACATGTTCTAATCACAATTGAACGATCAGTATTTACGTATTTAACTTTTCAATAAGCTAACATTCTATGCGGCCTGAATAGTTTTATCCCCCATTTACGTCACATCCGGTAAGGGAAGTAACTCTTCTCTGACTCTTATCGCTTAAATGAAAGGGTCTATAGGTCATTGACCTCCACACTTCCACTGCTGTCTTCATTAACCCGGGTCAAAAGCCTGTAATTATATAAATAAAATATTCTTTGAGTTAAAACACCTCTTCAGTATTTGAACTAAAGTTATATCAATATTTGTGACCACTAATAGGAGAGTGAAAAACTTGTAGCATAAGGAAGTTGAACATTAAAACCTCTCAATTTGCCTATTGCACTGTACCATTTACAGATAACATATTCTTCTATCAAAAAGATAATTAATAAATGTCAGAAAGTGCAGATCATGATAAAATTGAAAACATTTGCAGGCTAATCTTGGTCTGCACTAGTCATGAATACAAATACCACTGTCCAAAGTTTCATATAAATGAGTTAGTATTTGAAATGCACTATATAGGAACCTTAAATTAATGGTCAACTAACACTGATATTTGCTGAATACAAGTGATCTTTTAAACAGATTTGATTAAAACTATAATGTTTTTGCTTTTCAAAATAATATTCTATCTTTTTAAAGTGCAAAACTGACCAGCTGGTTAGACCTGTAAATGTAAAAAAAACATAACATATTTATGTTAATTATAGTTGACAAAAAAATAAGATATTCATAATAATGATTTTCAATTTTTATTCTTTATTTGAGCCGTGTCATGACAAAACCAACATAGTGGGTTTGCGACCAGCATGGATCCAGAGTAGCCTGCACATCTGCGCAGTCTGGTCAGGATACATGCTGTTCGCTTACCAACCCTATTACAAGTACAGAAACTGATAATGAACAGCATGGATCCTGATCAGACTGCGCGGATGCGCAGGCTGGTCTGGATTAATGCTGGTTGCAAACCCACTATGTTGGTTTTGTCGTGACGCAGCTCATTTTATTTGAGATTGCTTTAATGTACATTTAGAATATAACACAGAGATAAATACTAATTTAAAATTATTATGTATTAACATTTACATTGATACCATTAAAGGGATTTTTCTTCACTTTGTTTAATTGAAGTTATTTCCCTTACACTGATGATACAAGAGCTGAAACTATGCATTGTTTACAAGTTTATAATAACTATGACCTTAAAAGTATTTACATAAAAAAAGTAAATGTAAATTTAATATGAATCAGAGTTACAAACCTCCCCCTAACTGTAAGTGTGACATTGACCCTGGGGGTAGGAGTCTGGGTGTTGCGCATGACACATTGTTTTATTATGGTGAATATTTGTACCAAGTTAATTTTAATATACCCATTTTAAAGACACATACATACAAATGTCCTGATGAAATTTATTTCGATTGAAAAGACAAAATGTACACAGTTGGATTTCTTTATACATTATTTGCTTGTAGTTAATTTACCCCTTAGCCTGCTGGTCCAGTGTAGTCAATGGTTGGGCTGTACATTAGTACAGTCTGATAATGGTGTTGATTGATTGCTGTTTTACCTGGAACTTTTCAATGAACACCCTTTCAGATAAGCAATGTTATTTATAGACCTTATTTGAGATTTATTGTGCTAATGCCCAAAACAACCTTTTACAATACTTTTTTAAAAATGTATAGATGTAAAATAAATTAAATGATTATGTTATCTATCTAAATTTACTAATTAGCTCTAGCTAGTACAGAACAGAACATTTATTACAACATACACATTGTTAGATATACATACACAATATCTATAGGTTAATAAGAGCTGTTTAGTTGTGGCTTCAATATGCTTATGTCTATACACACATTTTAGGTATAAATATAATACAAATAATGGGTTATGTTTAAGAAAAAAAGAAATCAAATAAAATAACACTATAGAAAATTAACTTATTTATGGAATAAGAATAAGTTTGAATAAACAAACTTATACAGTTTATAGAAAGTTTAATAATTCACTTTAATAAAAAATAAATGTATAAGAAAACATCAATCAAAACTTTTTTTTTAAAATGAAATGTTGAAAAATATCTTTTCATTTTAGGTTAGAAGAACCTATTGGCATAGGTGCAGGTAATTTGACTGTTGATGACATGATTATGATTGATGAACTTACTGAGCTTGATGAACAAGAAAGTTCAGAGGAATTTGACAGTGAATTTGATGAAGTTATCAAAATGATATGTGAAACACAGAGTGAATCAGTAAATCTTCCAACAGACTTGGATTTAGACGGAATTTTGACTGGCATTAAATGTACGATTGTGAAAACTCCAATGCAATACAATACCAACAAAATCCTGACAGAAATTGATCATGCGAAGTACATACAGTTCTGTAAAAATGAATATGCAAAGTTGTCATCTTTTGTTGAGGAGTTAGATGTTGATCCTTCAAAATCTGTACCAAGTAAGCTGCAGACTGAATTTTACACTAAAGTACATGCTTACCAAGTAAGTGCTGAATTTAGAATGAATTGCCTAACTTTCTTTGAAAGCATGCAATGTACTGAAGACCACCTTCACATCTGCTTTAATATATCCAACCAAATTAGGACATATCTTTTGAAAAAGAAAGCAGAATTGTTTCCTGTAGGAAAAAGAAAGATTTCTGATAGAATTATTACAAATGCTTCTGAAGCACGTGTAAGATATGTAGGTGGCTATTGTATAGCTAAAGTAAGAAATAAATATATGCAAAAGAAAAAGAGCTATATGTATAAAGTAGATGAAAGCGGCCAAGCTGTATATAATGAGTCCTTGCAAGCAGTGGATATTTTAGATTCTATAAAAGTTGAAGAATACTATTTATTAGCTACCACAACAAAACCAGAGTCCCTATTAGATGTTAATAGAAAGCAGGGACTGAATAGATCACTTACCAATATACCTGATGATCTTTTCCAGTTCTTCCAGATACTGACTGAAAAATGTCTACAACTTTTAGTGGATGAAAACATGAATAAATATGGAAGCAATCTGTTCGAGGAAATAAAAAATAAAATTTTGGAAAGTTCTGAATTGTATAATGAATTCTTTAGTGTTGTAGACAAGTGCAGGGCAATTAATCAAGACCTTGGTGAAAATTATGTCCAACATTCTGACAACAATGTGGTCAAAATTATCTACAAGAAAATCATCAAAATATACTTAATGGTTATGGTGAATCAATTTAGGAAAGATGTCTTAGACGCTTTTAGTATTGAAAAGAAAATGGCTCATAGGAAACAGGTCCGGGTTTCAGAAAAGTCCAAAGTAAAATCTAAAGCTCAAAAAGGATCACAAAATGATGATGAAAGGCCTTCCACTTCAAATGACAGTAGCATACCTATCATTGAACCAACATGTAGTTCATCAAGACCAAAAAGGAGACGAAAAATTAAAAAAACTAGTGAAATATCAAGCAGTGATGATGAACATATAAACATTGAAATTCCGCTTGAAAAGCCTAAAGATCAGGCTGATAATTTTGAAATGTCAGAAAACTCGGATGAAGAAACATCTTGTCAAGTGTGTAACTTAAATCAGAATACGGCTCCTTCACAAACACAATGGATTAATTGTGACGGTTGTAATGGTTGGTTACATCGCAAATGTGCTGGGCTTCAACATCATCTTAGATGGAAAAAAATTAACAAAAAAGATGAACATTTCTACTGTCAGCAATGTGAATAAATAACATAAATATAAGACAGTAACTTTTTTTTATAAAAAATATGAAATAACTGTGTTAAAGTTGTAAAAATGGATTTTACCAGGTAACAACAGACATTTTCACTTTTGAAGACTCCACACAATGTTTTTTTAAAATAACTAATAGTAAGTTATATCAGTTTATCAAAGACAGATTTTTTCACGATTTGCATGCAGTCTTAAATTTTCCGCCAATCTTTGTACCGGCAAAAGTGTGTGTACTTACGTTTATAGTAGATAGAGCCGGGCCCAGACACACCTCCGTCGTTGACCAATGAGACGTTGTGTTACAAATCTCCACGAGCATGCGCATTGTACTGGCATGGCTGCTGCAGGACGATTGAAAACAAACCGCTGAGAAAACAGGTTCGTTTCTTTACGTGAATAGATTTATAGATAATTTAAGTACGGAGCGTAATTGTATTTGATAGACTTGAAACATCTGCCGCTGCAATTTGTGCATTAATTATGAATTTAGAGTGTTTTAGTCGTGAATGTTTTACCAAAACGGTGCAATCAGATCTCTTCCGAGTTAGAATTATTGACAGTTTTGACTTGAATATTTCTTGCTACGTATAATCAGCGAAGGTGTCAGTGTTGTTTCCTTAAAAAGTATTCATTTGTCTAAGATTTGACACCAAGATTGTTAAGATCGGTGAAAAATTGATGAATATATGCGCTGATAATTGAGATGCTAGTGATATTTCTATGCAAAATGAAAGTAGAGTAAAATACCTTTACAATATTTTAGTCATAAAAAAATTTTTTTTTTTTTTTTTTAATTTTTTTTTAGGGGTTTTGGGTTGTAGAGGGGGAACGGGGGTATAGTGTAAGTCATGGCCACGCAACGTTTACCTGTGGCAATTTGTAGATTAACTTTGCGGAATGAAAATCATTCTTATATAAAAGGAATACGTACTTTCTATTGGCCAATTTGAATGACATGATTAGGGGATCTTGTGATATCCTCATTTAAATCACGAGGTCACGTAATGCACCATATCTTCTTTTAGTAGCACATACTTTTCTTTCAGAATATGATTAAGTTTTTCAAAGCCAATAAGAAATATGCAAATGAACGGAAGTGCGACGTTTGAAATATTCACATTTTTAACTATCAAATGAGGAAACTTTTGAAATACCTTGATGTTTAAGGAATGCATTAACAATTTTGATTCTAAAGATCCTGTAACACAATTTTACAATTAAGGTTTATAAACAGAATTATATTTGAAATATTTATGTTTTCAGTATATACTTCTTATTTGTGTGTAAATATGATACTTTGACGAGATGAATCATTTGCATTTCATATACAACCCTGCAATATCCGTACTTGAAAAGGAATGCAAAACGATCTTAATGAGTGACAGTTTAATGACATAAAGCAATTTCGGTCTAAGAGATGATAAACTATAAATCCTGTTTCGGGAAAAACTTCTTCTTTCATGAATATTATTAAACCGGAAATAGATTTTATTTTGTACCAGCAAATGAAGAGCATTGAATGGTTTGTCTCACAATATACGACCCAAGTAAAGTTCGCCCTGCCAAACGTTTCAAAACCATCTTACATTTGAACTCACTTGCGTTGTTGCCATTTTCGCTTTACAAGCACCTGGCCTGCTGTGCGAGCTATAAAAAAAGTGTTAGTGTTTCAAACCTACCCAGTAGCTATCGAACTTAATATATAAACATTCTAGCTCATTATTTCTGCTATGCCCAAATAAGGACTATCAATCTTTACATGCTAACTGCATAGCTGCATGTATGTTTGTTTTGAATATATTACGGATCTAAAAGAAATTAATATACACGACAGTACTGAAGAAAGACCGATATTTAATGTTGGTTTAAAAATATTTAATTGTTTAAAATTCTAACAGGAAATGCAAAACAAATCATAGCTGGTGCAGCAGGGTCATTTGTATCTTTGACCTCCCATTTCGCCACCATTCTTTTCTGTAAAAAATATCAGACACGTATAAAAATATTTATTACAGTTGTTTTCATTACCTTATACAAAGACCTTGGAATAGTCATTATATTTATAGCTTATGGTGTCTGCAACAATATATATAAATTACTTGCTAAATAAAAGTAACTATACATTTTGTAAGACTAACTAAGTTGTTAAATGGACTTGTATAAATCCATTGGTTATTGCAGCAGCGCGTGAAATATTATAACCAAAGTGCTCTTAAAGGTTCATTCATCATCAACAGTTTTGTCGGTGCATAAAAGGAAAAAAAGTTGTAAAAAATTGCAAAAAAAGGGCTTTTTTTTTGGTAACAATTTAGCATATTAAAGAATAACACAAAATGAAAATTTTTAAACCCAAAATTTTAAAAATCGGGTTAACCCCCAAAGGCATAAACCTTGGGTTAAAATTTTCAGACTCTATTCCAATCTTTATTCTTATCCTTTTTAACCAGTATTGGTTTGCTGCTTTAACCCAAACTTTAAAATTTATATGGCGACATTCAATTTTTATTTTGCAAAAAACAAATTTTTTCAACACTTTTACACATGTTAAAATTTCAAATTTTTTGGGTTTTTTAAAGTTACGGGAATACCATTGAAAAAAACCGAAAGGGTTTGTGCGTACACCTAAACTTAAAGTTAAGGGGATTTCAAATTATATTAACAAATACATCAAAAACGCCCCGGCATTTTTTCAGACCTAGCAGTAGATAAACTTCCCGCCCTTTTTTGAAAATACTAATTTTTTCCCTTTGTGATAATCCAAAGTGAGCAAGGGGAAATTAAACTCCCGCAGTGGCAGGAAATGTACAATTTTGGTCAAGAAGTTCCTTTTTTAAAAGTTTTAATGTGTTTTTTAAAAAAACAAAAAATATAACAAAAAATCCGTTTTGTAATGGAAGTACAATTTTTGTAGTTTTTGCAACCAGCTTGTTTTGACATTTAACATTTTTGGATGCATCGTCGTTGTTTTAAAAAATTTCCATATTCACGATTTCCAGTCCCAGTTACTCCCCACTGCAAATTGTATCCCGTCATATTCCCCCCTAAAAACCGTTGAAAAACCAGGTTTATTAATTTAAAATTTAATTCCGATAGATTTTTCACGATCAGCGTATAAAATTTTTCAAAATTTACAAAATTTTTCATAACTCAGAAAATATTCCTAAAAAAAAATCGTTTATCAAACTTTCTTAATTTTTGGGAATCTGTTTGGATAATTAGGTAACATACAAACATACATAAGGTTTTCAAAAATAGCGATTTTTTAAAAACATCATTCCCTGCAACGCTTTCAATTTTTTTGGTTTTATAGTTTTAAGGGGAAATCTCTGACTTTCAAAATTCATAAAACAGTATATAGGGTTTTAAGATTTTTAAATTAAAATACTTGTGTAAATTTTTTTCCATTGTATATTTTTTCCCTGTATAAACAACTCTTTGCTGCACACGGCTCCAGAACAATCGAGTGAACAGTCGCAGTTGAACCTTAAAACATAAAATAACACATTGTCACGCGGATTATAAAATGCATATAACTTAGACAGCTTAATGTCTGCATTAAAATATTTCATTGAACATTTAAAATTCTTTTACGAAATTTAAGAAAGATTAATTAAATTTCTTTTGAATTTCCGTTTTAACAAAGGCAAATTATTGCTTTTGGTTCTAACCAAAGTCAATGGTTGCATACATGTATTTGAACGCAGAGGCTTATGAGCTGGCTCGTTATCAGAAATAATCTACCCGGTATTAAACATCTCAATTTATGATTGTAAATAATTGTAAAAATAATTGGCTTCAAACGTTTAAAGAATAATTTTCGTTGTACGGTTTTATGGGCATATACCTTAATCGATGCAGCATTTTTAAGTGAATTGCTAACATTATAAATTAAGCAACAATTTATTTACTGATCATCATATCGTATTCTTTAACCAAGTGGGCATATTGATTCTTGTCCTATAATTATTGCATTTTTTATTATCATTACTTGTATTAATTATTATTATTATTATTATTATTATTATTGTCTGAAGATATACCGTAATGTTGTATAGTGTCGCTTACATGATACTGAAGATAAATATCTTTTGTTTTTGTATGTATACACTTTTTTTTAAAATATTAGACAAATTTTAATAACAAGATTCATTCTAAAAACGCAGTGGCTTTTGTATTTCCAACGAAAACTTAGATTTTTCTATCTCGTATATATAATTATATATAATTATATATATATTACTATTATGAAAATAAAAGCATACTTACCACAGCTTACATATTTTAGTTGAACAGCAACTGTATATGAAACAAGACATAAAACCAACAAAGCAATTATTTTGATCATATTTACGCTATCTTTCTCTTAAAACACACACAATAAGCAAATGCACTTTGTAGAGAAGAAGATCATTCTTTTCTTTTATATAAGGAATATGTAACTTTCTATTGGCTAATTTGGATGGCATGATTAGGAAATCTTGCGATATTATCATTTTAATCACGAGGTCGCGTTATGCTGCCTTACAACGCACCATATCTTTCGTTAGTAGCACAAACCTTTCTTTCAGACTTTGATTAAACTTTCAAAGCCAATGAAAAATATGCAAATTAATGGAAGTGCAGTGTCTGAAATATTAACGTTTTCAGCTATCAAGAGGACAATTTAAATCCGAATTTTTTGAAATACTTTGATATTTAAGGAATGTATTTTGATTAGAAGAAAATGAAAGTAAAACCCTATTATTACTCTTTATGAAAAAATAATCGGATGATATTTGCAGAAGTTAAACTTTTGTTCTACATGAAGTTTATGCTTTTCAGGCATATAAGGATAAATAATTGAAACTTCCGTTAATTTGTGTAGGGGCCCCTAGATTTGTAATAACCTGTGATACGCATTTTATTAGCCCAATTTTACATAATGGTTAAAGTAGCTGACTCCAAATCTCTTGCTGCTTAAACCGACGTAGGTTCGAAGCCCGTCATTGGCATTGTTCGCCCGTGTCTGAATTATGCACGATGCGGCAATTAGGCCACAAAGACGCAAACTGATATTAACAGTCTTGATGTGATTTTTAAAAATGCAAAACTTGCATTTGTTCTCAAATTTTCGATCCGCAAAGTTATTATACAATGTCAGAGGCTAAAATCTATGATAAACTTATCATCAACCGAAACCAAAAATTCAAAAACCAATTAATGCAATCTATACAATTTTAATCAAGTATTTTCACGTTTATGAATAATATTTTTGTTAGTACTATATGCAGTTATAAATGTTTTGGCATAACATTCATGATATTAAGTTCCGATTTCAATATTTTTAACAAATATACTCAGCTAAATATTTATAAACAGAATTACATTTGAAATATTTTCTTCAGTATTCAGCTTATAAGTGTGATACTTTCACTAAAAGGACAATTTTCATTTCACATAAAAATATGTGAATACAATATCGTTACTGAAATAAGAATACAAAGTGAGAGAAAGTTTTAAAAAACTATTTCGCTTTAAGCGATGATAAATGACGTTGACCTTAGATACAGACCATATTAAATGTGAAGTGATTTATTTCCATTTGAGTAAACCTTGTAAAATAAGGAATGGAAAATGTAATTAAACTATTTTTAGGAAAACTTAAACAGGAATAAATTTTAAGTGTTGCAGTATACATATACTATATTAAGAGTCTTGAAATTTTGATCTATGTTATTAGACGTTTAATAAATAAAACAATCCGAGTAAAAAATAATTTTGAAAGAAGCGTTTTCACTCTTTAGAGGTTAGTCCTTGCTGTAGACCGCGTTAACCGCATCTCCCCCTTATTTTACCCAACACCATACTCAGTTGATAGTTGGTAGCGTAAAACCGTTGCAATATATTAAAGTAAATAGCTTAAACATTAAGAAAATTAAATCAAACAACCCTATTTAGAGGACATAAAACATTACTGAATACTTCGAAACCAAACAATGCTTGTTAAGGACTTAACTGAGGTTATTTGGCATAACAGGAGTGAAATATCTTTGGAGATTTATGTACAATTTGATTTAAGTCTGAACCAATAACTTGTGTACAAAGTTCCAAATCATTCACTAACTGCAATTTTACAGAATATTTACAAAAATGTATAGCGTTTAAATGTGTTTAACTGAAAATTGTACAAATACGATTCCCTTTAATTCTGAGTACATTTCATTAGTATATTTTTCAAATGTTTCATTTTTAGTATCCCATTTTATTCCATGTAAAAAATCTAAGTTTATGTTTTTCGGCTTTTGGAAGGAAGGCTTTTGGGTATCTATAAGGAAATCGCGACACATCTTAATATTGTTTTTAATACTATAGCTTTTAAACTTATTCTCATTTCGATGCATTTGCATTTGTATGCTTATAAAAGATAGCATCAAAATACAACACTAAACCGTTTAGTACAATTTAATTAATAATACTGAAATACAAATAAAGAGGACATCTTTATTATGAAAATCTTACGATGCAAACCTGCTCATTATCGTTACAAATACTGAACCTTTGTGCTACTGAATTTACGGGAGAAGTAGATGGTACGATGTGGAAATATCATGGCGCCACCAATTGTGATCTATATATTACCCTTGTTTTAGATGAACTTTGAAAAGTGTCCGTTTATCAGGCGGTGTTATACAAAGTTAGATAACTGCTATAAAAGAGACAAACTTAAGATAACTTTCTCTGTGAACAAATATTTCTAACGTTTAGCAATCATGATGTTTAAGGTAGCTTGTTTTTTTCTTAGCGTAGCGTTCGTTGTCGGAAATATTCAAATTACAGTTCACGACTGTGGTAAGATTCAATTTATTAACATTTTATTTGAAATGTTTATTTATTTTTCTAGTTATTTTTTTCTAAAATGTATTGACTTTCATATAGCCGTAATAATTCAATTCATTATGTCTCTGTTCTAAAAATGACTGTTAAATTCACGTATAAAATTTACAAATAATATTTTTGTGTAGAAGACTCTTGTATTGTAACATTACTGAATAATAGGGTACTAAGATTCACAAAATTAAAGCACTTTTTGTTTGGTTTTTATTGAAACCCACACTGCAAACGTCATATACTAGTATTAAATACATGTGAAGAAACTTAAAACACTCAGCCATGGACGTCTCTCTTCTTGAAACTATTACGGTATTCTAAACAAGGAACTGCAAATTGAGTGTAAGGGTATAATATATTACTTGTCGGTATGGTTTCAACTTCTGATATATCCAATGCGACATTTATTTCAATTGTAGGATCTAAAGATGCCCGAATCAACTCCATTCGTGTAGAACAATGTGAAAAAGAACCGTGTGTAGTTCATAAAGGTGCAAACTATACGGTGCAAGTTGACTTTACAACAAGTAAGGATACTTTTACACAATCATATTTCCTATAGCAATACACAACATTAAAATTAAAAACAATATAAACAAGAATAATATGACAGTGAGTATAGTGATGAAATAGTATCTCATGCAAGGCCAAATACATGTATATTTGATTATGATGTTTTATGATTTTTTTATAATTCCAGCACGAAATATTAATGAGGCCCACAATGTGTTACACGGTGGACTAGGATTTCTTCAAGTTCCATTTCCATTAACTCCAGAGAATGCTTGTAATAAAAGTGTAACATGTCCGATGATTGCTGGAAACACATATATCTATAGACAAACAATGACATGCCCCTCATTTGCTCCAAGTGTAAGTATTTGGTATATCTATTTATATTGCTGTAAATATATAAGGCTTTTTTCTTGACACGTACAAATATGCATTTTAAAAGTTAAGCGGAAATAAACCAAAGTTATCGAAGTTCATTACGGACTTACTCGGCTATTTCGTAAAAGTTACAAATGTTGTTTGATTTATTAAAAGAAGTCAGTCCGTTATAACACCAATGCTATATCTCCGTAGTAATAAATGTTGAATTAAATGTAAAACATAAAATTATGTCTAAACCGAAAGAACAAATTTTGTAATAAAACTTACTGCCGGAAAAGTAAGAATTTCGTGCAAGTACTTTATAAATTGAAATAAACTGTTTATATATTAAAAACACACGTCAATCTATAGGACCAAAAAAGGGCACAATTATTATTTGCAAGTAACACAGTATTGTGTTAAAAGAGTCTACTTCATTTATTCGCAAGGAAGGTTTAAGTTAAAATATATCGCTCCCAAGAAAAGTACAGTGATCGAAAGTAACATGGTCTTCTTATCGAAAGACAGGATGACCATTGAATGGTATCGGATCAATTTCGTTTATCTACTGTGTGTAAAACTAATTAATGTGGTAGCAGATTTCTGCCATTTCGTGTGCCGATACATTTTAGGCGAAATAACGATAATTTGATAACATATGTCGTGTCTTTGCGTCGTCACCTTCAAAAGTTGACTCCTTAGACTTTTGACAGGCGAAGACACGAAATAAAAGAAATCAGCCACAATTAATTACGGTGTCCAACTTTGCAATTCTAATGGTCCGTATCTTTCTTTTTACAGTTAAAAGTTACCGCAAGATGGGAGTTAAAAGATGAGCATGGTGCTGATATATTCTGCTTCGCTACTGGATTAAGTATTATTAGTTAATAAGCAATGAAACTTTGAAACATTATACAATTGTTAAAAATAAAAAATATAATATTGCTTGTCTAGTGTTTTGTTCACTTATATCCTTCTTCATGAAAATCTGGCATAAAAGTGAAAAAATGTTTATGCTTAAACGTGTAAACCTATTGCTGTCAATTAAAATTAATTTATGGCAAAGCACATAGCGCATTACTTTAAAATGCAACACATAATGCAATAGAAAAAGTGTCAACTTTTGTTAAACAAACAAAGCAATTATAACAATCAATTAAATCAATGAAATCAAAACGAAGGAGCTTTTCGGAATGCCTTACTGGCATGTATCATGCGGTGAAGAGATAATCCTGGAAGTAGAGTTATATTTTGTTACGTGACTACAAACATTTGTATTATTTAATCAACTAATAATGTAAATGAAGGCACTTATATTATAACGAATTTGATTTTATATATAAATACTGTTTTAAGGTTATATATTTACAACTATTTGAATTGTATACGACCGTTTGGTCTTGTTATAATCTTGTAAAATCAAACACGCAAATTGACTACTGTTCCGACCCCAAATTTGGACACTTCATTAAAATTTAACCTTACAAGCCTTTAAATTACAGCAGAACCTGTTCTTATTTTGTGACGTCCAACAAATACATCGACCGTCGTTTGACCGCCAATTTTCAGACTGGTTTCTATATTTCAGTCGACAGTCACGTGTAAATAGACATTTAAGTAAGTTATCAAATAAACCATTATCTTTATCTTAAATGGCTGAAAATTTTGCATACTATGAAAATCTTCCGTTGTTACGATGGGCAAACGTATATGGTTTAATATTAGAGGTTATTTAAGACTTTATAAACAAACGGGAATATAACATTCCAGGTGATGCAATATGTAAATGACATAGAAAAGAGACCGAAAATGCCATTCTTACATTTTTTTAATGTCATTAACAGTATATCTACAAATGATTAAAATTAAAATGAAACTTCTAAATACATTTTGGTTGAAAATAAAAAAAAGAGAAAATACGTTTCACTTAAGGTATACTGCAAGCCACATGCACACCCCAATATGTATAATGGGCCGAGCTAAGTCAAGAAAGTTTTTTTTCCAACAATCCCGGAAAAAGTTTCTTTACATGGAGTTTCGGAAGAACTCGGTTGAATCTTTAAGACTATAAGCAGCTGCCTGGATTGTGAAGACAAGCACGGAGAAATGGTGCTGAAGTTCCCGTATAAAATCAGGGTTGTCAGGTTCTTGACGTAGCTTGTATATAGCGTCTTGCATCCCCGGAAAACTTGCCTCGGGAATTGCGCTGTTTTGCGGCGTGGAGTGAATCAAATGTCTGAAAGATACAATACATGTTACTTTATGTTTATTTGTTTTTGGGGTTTTTTGTTGTTGTTGTTTTTTTTTGTAGTTTTTGTTTTCGTGTGTGTGGTCTTTTTTGTTTTTTTTTTGTGTTTTTTGTGCGTGTGCGTGTGCGTGTGCGTGTGTGTGTGTGTGTGTGTGTATCTTAAATCACACTGACATTATAACATGAATACCTGTATAAATGTTTGTACTTTAAATGAACATACCATAATAAATCATTTTACATAAAAGGGAATCAAAACAGATCATGTTGATTTATAAAGGGATACCGGTATGCCAATGTAGATATTTCCTATGAATCAGTTTTTGAAAGTGTGCAGAGGGCAAGGTACCAGAATTGATTTCTTCAAATCGCCAACAAATTCCTGAACGTCAATTTCATAATATGCCACAGTAAACAACATTGTGAAAACGATGTCACGTCCGTAAGCAGGCTCAAAACACAAGTAAAGTTAAAAGGAAAATGTGAGATATTGGCTATTCTTGGTCAGACAAATAAAATAACCTCAATAAAAAGATGTAATATTAATATTGAGTGTTTTACCTGTAAAGTTGTGTCCGACCTGGCAGACTTGCTGGATCAAGAAACGTTCTCTCAAGTTGGATCATCTGGTCATTAATCCGCCTTACCTCGACGGGGCTTAAATTTAATAGTCATTACTTGAGGCAACAATTTAATGCGAATATTGAAAGATTGGCATAAAACAGCTTTTGGAAAAAGAATTTGTATAACAAAATCATAAAATTGGCAAAACTATCCACAGAAAGGTCAATGAATGATGTCAAAAAGTTCTATTTCTCGATTCGATAAATTGATATTTGCTTTATGTCAAGCTAAAGAAATATTCCGCCGAAAATTGTAAATGGAAAACAAAAATTTGCTCACTTGCAATTAATTTGTTACAACTTATCAATTTTCAAATGTTTTCTGTGTTGTTAGAGAGTACAGAAGAGCTTCATCACTAAACGTTAATTATTATAAGCCACAAAAAGTAGGTTCGAGTAATGGTGAAATATGTTAGTTTCAATTTCTTATCAAAGATAACATTGTTTATAAACTTGCTTACTTGTTAGTATTAACACTGTCAACAATTTTGTGAAAATTGACCGCTTCCTCTTTGTACAAGTCGATCACTCGATGGAGCTCAGCTGTAATGTTTAACAAATTCAAAAATTTAGCAATTTTAACTATAGTGCAGCTTTTTACTTAAAAGACATATTTCAAAATGTTCAATACATTCAAGAACAAAATATTACTTTGAAACTGTTACAGAGTTACAAATTGTCAGAAGAAAAAGCAGACGACAGTTTAATTTTGAATTAATCGGATTCAGTAAAAAATCAGCAAGGTTTCGGGATCGAACCCTTCAGTACCTTTCAGTAAACTTCGATAAACTGACAAATCACAGTTTCTCTTTTACTGTGTAATAAAAACTGGAACCTCACTGGCTTTAGTCAACTTAGTTTGTCATCGAGATGAACATCTAGGTCAAGGAATAAACAACAGTATGCTTACTTATATTTATATTATAATCTGAAATCTCCTGGGACGCATTTTTCTCCATGGCATATGTATAATGCTCTAGAAACAGTCCGTAGTCGGACATATTAAAAGGTATAATCTTGGCGTCGGCAAGGTCTCTGAGAAGTTCTCCAGACATCTTCCCTATTGTAGAGTGTAACTGAAACAAATTACGACAAAGTTTTTCGTCAATTTCATCAACACTTACATCAGGACTGTACAAAGAATAGGACGTATCTATTTGGCTGAAGTCGCCATTATCTGTTCGATATTCATCAAGATAAAGGTTGTGTTGCTCACGGTTATACGAAAGTTTAACGAATGAAAAAATGACGTGGCTTAAATAATTTCTGCAAATTTTAAAAATTGAAAATTTTTGTCAATTCCTTTGGTAATAAGCAAAGTTTTGAGTATCATCAATTCAAGAAAGCATACCATACAACAGCATATTAAATAGAGAGGCAACATTTTGTCCATTGTAATATTTTTTAAATCGAGATGTATCTTACAACAAATCCCGGATCAATCAGTTCATCTACGGCGTAGAAAGTCTCGTAACTCGTATGGTAAAGAGGGTAAAACAGGATTCCCACCCCTGCCTGCAAAAAAATAAAATTATTACATTTTTAATTAAAGTCAATAAATCAAAATATATCATCATTAGATCAGTATCATGGGCTTTTAATTGTGAATGTGTTATAATTTATTATAATTCAAGTTTTCATTTCGACAATTTCACTGCTTGGTTCTTTTTATCCAATGGTGTTACAAAACATCTGAAATCTGATATCCTTGATAAAACTGATAAAACTAGTCTTCTACAAAATAATGTAACCAAGCATGTCTACATGAATGGTAAAAAATATGAAATATAACAATTTCGATTTGATGGACGGCACTTTTCACGCAACCGTCCTTAACACATAATACCAGGCCCCGTGTTCACTTAGAGAAATCTTATTCGGAATCAAATGAATCAGATTTCATTTATACTAAAATTTATCGTAGCTTAAATTAAATTTTACATAAAAATGTTAACTTGTGCTGTTTTGCAAACAACCCTTGTTAGGAAAGAATGGACGAACAGCAATACAAAACAAAAATAATTAGATCAAAATAAGGATCAAGTTTAGGATCAAGCTCAATATTTGGATCAAATGTAAAATGTCTATGTATTCTACAGTAACAATACATATACTCTAAATTTTCATAAACAAGCTTTTAAGCCTATTTTTGCATAGGGCTTGATTTATTAGGATAAACAATGGAGAATATTTTAGTTTTTTTTTATTTTGATCCTGAAATTTGTCCCGATTTTTAGACACGGGGCGAGGGTTATGCAGACTGAAAACACATCGAATAACCCCTGTCGACAATGAACATAAACATTTCAATGTGACACTGATAAATGGTAAGAAGATTCTTCTCGGTTAATTTATTGGAAATCGTATTCAAGTTACAATAGGCGGACAAAATAGGCTGTAACAATTGACTGAAAACCTTGTCATGTATTCTTTGTAATTTACCCGACAATGATACTTACATAGTCTTGATCATATCGAAAGTCTGCACATGGTATACCGGCTCGTATCTGAAACGTACCATAGTCACTACCAGCGCCCGGAGAGCTGATCCTTTTTTACATGAAAAAAAAATAATGAAAAGTCCTGGGCTCAGAGGAAAGAAAATATGATTATTTTTCATTCAAAAATAGATCATTTATAAATAGTATTTATATAACGCTTTTTATGACATACCATATATAAATAGCTCATTTTATTTTCCTTCCCGTACTAAAAAAAAAGGCCCTAAAAGATTGGGCGTGGGAGTCAACTTTAGTTTTGTCAATACTAATCCGATCATTGAAAGTAACCAAAAAGTAGCAAAGGCAAATTTGAAAGAGCATTATGATGAACTGACAAGTTACTGGTTAAAATTTTTATAGATTTGTAACAATATAGCTGAATCCGATATTCCTTCTTATATGTCTAAATCGTTTATCTTCTGCAGTAGCCAATTATTGTTTGTTTTGTTCGGTTTTACGTCGCACTAACACAGTGTAGATCATATGACATTAGTCAATACTAGCACTGTACTAAAATATTTTAAGTCGTCGACGTCTGGGTACGTGTAATATATTTCTCTTATCTCAAAGATATATGCAACCATTATAGTTATACTTTGGAATATTTAGACTGGAACCATCCTCCGGGTTATTTAGCGTTCTTCTCGCCTTCCATGTGTCGTAAACCGTTGGGTGCTCGGTATCGCTCGTGTTTGGATTTGGAACCTGTAAAATGACTACTAATGTTATTAACAACCTCTATACCGTAACATAAACAAGTAATTCGAAATTTGCCTGAAATAGTTTTTTCTGAACATATTTCCCTGTATAAATTTTGGAATTGTATCAATAGCTGGGTGTATCTATACAGATATGATTCAATACTCGTCTACACAGAGTGTAACATAAAAAATATTTCTAACAATATCGATGTAATCTAAGTTTAATTTATGTACATGCAGCATTAGCAGAAAGACACTAAATGAATGGTAGAAGCAAACGCGTTGACAAGCAAATAGGTCATTTAGGGTATGACTTTAGAGAACTAAGTCAGAGATCAAGATACTTGTAGTAAGATCTTACCTTCTGTGCTGCTCGATACATGGCGGAGAAAACTGGAGGACTCCCAAGACCACGAATAGAATAATTTCCTGAATATACATCAACACATTTATCAGCATTGTTATACTCTAAAACCTGCTGAATTTATGTAATGGCCATGTCCTGCTTTGAAATTGGAACAGTCCATTAGAAGTACAAGGGATGTGAGTTTTACTATGCACTGGTCTAAATCGTTAAGCATCGGCTATTCCCGTATACTTTATAGGCTCAACGGTTAAAAGTAGTGTCCGTTCGCCAGAAAGTAACTGGTGAAAAAGGTTTTTCACGTCAGGTTCGAAAAGAATAAGGATTAAAATTGGATAAAATGTTGACAAAATTTGTATCTATTATCTTTAATACGGAGATTTATTTATTTATTTACGGCAATTCATAACATAACAAAATGTGATCTTATTTTGTATAACTTGTACGAGTAAGTTGTTAAAAAAGAAATGTTACAAAGGCATAAGAGTTCTTGTGATGATGCTCCTGCTCTTTAAGTTCTTAAAGCGTTAATTTTACTTACAAAATCCATTTCACAAGCATTTAAGATAGTAAAACATAGTAATTGAAGAACATAATTGTTGTGGTTGCTCTTTAATTCATAATGCATGTCCATGTATGTATTCTGTGGTTTTGGTCAAATATGATTTATAATTGAATCTATTTATTTCTTTATTAATGAATGTACTGACCAGTAACTGCAATGTCCATATTAATGTACGCAACAGATCGAAAATCTAGCACATTGCTGTTTTCCTGAAAGTAAATGCTTTTCTTTTAATAAATCAAATGCAAATTATATACCCATCTTATTTTTGTATAAGATATAAAGGTAAATGGAGCATAATTATAAAAGTTAGGTCCAAGTTTCCCGGGCATGACAGAAGTTTTGTTTCTGTATAGCTAACACGTAATATGAATGGATCCATGTTTAACTCTTCAGTTACCAAAGAATCTTCAACTAAGATCGAATTAAAACATATTTCAAAGCAGCTCATAAAAAGTAGCAATGAATTAAAGGCTAAAAAACACAATAACAATGAAGTCACCTCTATCCATTCTGTTGAACCAATTAGTCCGAATTCTTCTGCTCCCCAGCTACAAAATATAATAGAACGACGGGGCCTCCATTTACCTAAAAAACAGAAACGCACAGTATTGAGCTATCTTTTGATTAAATGATAATAAGAAGTAATGAAATGTCTATCATTACTACTAAATTGTACTATTTTTGATAATTTCATATTCAATTTATTCATTTCTGTTACTTGGTATCTATACAATCACCATATTCTGGTGGTGTCGGTAAATCAATCTTCAGCAAAAGGTTTTCGCACAATAGCCCAAAAGTCCTTAGTCAAAGATCCATCGCTTCATACAAACGAGCAATATGAAAAATTAAGTATTTGCAAACTAGAAGTGTTTGTTTGTTTGATTGGGTTTTACGTCACATCGACACAGTATAGGTCATATTATGGCGACGTTCGAGCTTTACTTGTGGAGGAAGACCTCAGGTGCCCTTCCGTGCATTATTTAAGGCACGAACGAGCATCTGAGTAGAACCACCGATGTTCCATAAGCTAGCTGTCGGGATTCGAACCCACAGCGGTAAGTCAACGACCTTAACCACTCATTCACGGACGCCCCTAACTAGAAGTGTAAATGTTCTATTCATACATCCGGTTAATAACAAATCTGATAGCCTAAAAGTAAGTGAATGTTATCTAAAACTAATCTTCTGAAATAATTTACCCTCCTTGACAAGTTGTCCTAGTACACGTGATAACTCCATCATTGTAGCTGTCCCACTTGAAGGGTCGATGGCTCCTAAAACCCAGGAGTCCCTATGGTTACCAAGCATTACGTAACGATCTGAAATGATATGGAATATTTCTGTAGTGTTTATATTCCTAAGGATTTTCAAAGACAGATTAATATATATAGAAGACAAAATGCAGAATGAAATTATGACATTTTTAGGTCTAAGGAATTTAAAGAGGAAAAAAGATGTTACATTTGTATATTAAAGAAAATGTTAAGACCGTACTATATTGACCAACATTTAGAGTGAAAATTTACCCATCTGAAGTTCATCTAATATTATTGTACAATTCCATTCAAATGACAAAGAATTTATTGGAGGCTATATCCAGTGTATATGATACCCAGTGAATATAATTTGTTTTGTACCAATGAGATTTCAGCTATTTTATAATAATGGATCATGTATCACACACTTGCCAACAACATATATAATCATTTGTTATGTCTGATACTGAATACTAAGAACAATATGTTGTGTAGACTTTTCATTACAGACCAGCTTATTTTGATTATTTTATAAAATCTGTATTACAGAAAATACCTGGTTCTACCTCTCCTCGTATCATTCCAAAAGCATTATAAGAAATTCTCCGTTCATTTCTTGTGTGTACACTCAGTTCTAATATTCTGAAGTGAAAACAAAACTACCTTTAACACTCAAAATTCTTTTCCGATGCGTTGAATTAGTGAGTTTATACAAGTGCATTGGATAGATTTACCAAAATTTGATATACACTTTGATCAAATTTGATATTAGAAAATACTGGTAATATAAAATAAACATGTTTTGACTTCACAAGAAGTAGATATGTTTAAAATTCTATTTACTATAGGTGGTCACACTATGAATATAAAGTGTAGTGTCATTCAGTTGTATGAGAACTAGCAGGTCTTTTCTTTAAAAAGAAAAGACCAACTTTACTTGACATGTTATTTTTCTCAAATAGGACATATTCAGTAAGAATTTCATAGATTTCAATAAATTTCTGTTATCTAAATATTTTACTCAATGATGAGCGTACATGTAGTTTATCTTTAAACTTTAATCAAATGATACCAGATGTTTTAATACGCCTTTAGCTATTTTAGTATTTGCACTGCTAAACAAATGATGTTTTTTTTTCTTCTTTTGTTTGTTTGTTTTAATATTTTGTTTCAATTTTCTGTCTGTCAAAACAAATTCAGAGTAGCTGTTCTGTAAAGTTTAAAAAAGGTATCAAGCAGTTTAATCTACATGTATATTGCTAATGATTATAATTTGATATATGACTATTACAATGAAGAGTCGGTAAAGCCAGGACCAATTTTGTACGAGGTCTGGTTCAAGAGTCGTCCAGTCCAACCACTTGGTGCATCTTCCCCATCCATCATCCTGCAATATGAAATCAATATAACGAATAAATTATTATTACTGCATGTACAGTAAAAACAATCATCATTAATCGATCTACATGTATTTATCGTATGAAAATATAGATGAAAATAAAACAAAAAAGTCAAAGGGTTTGAGGAATGTTAGCTTTCTAATACTTTTCTTCATTTACTTTAATAATCAATTTTGTTGTTTGTTCATATATTTTCTTTGTATATTTGTTTGTTTTTTTGTTTTGTTTTTGTCGATTTTTTCTCATTTCATTTGTACAAATATTGTGATACGTAAGACGCACATACATGTTATATAGCCTACCCCATATATACTGTAGCATATCAACATTACTTACTTCCTTTAAATAATATATTTTTCTTTTATTATAAAAAATCTTCTTGATTTTAGATATACGAAAAATACGTAACACTTAACATAGCAATGGATATATGACCACTGTAACGAAAAAAAATGTTTAAAAAAAAATTCTTTCTAAGGGAAGGTTTTTTTTTTAAGTTTTCCTGTGATATGATCTTACTCTAGAAGTTTCTCAGCAAACTGAAATCCTATCGGCATGGCAGGTATCATTGGTAGTTGGGACTCTTCGTCCGTCTCATCATATCTATATGCAGACGCTTAAAATATATATACTGAAATCTCGTATACTGTCGTTCTTGAATAGTACCACGAAAGCATATAAAAGGTTTTAAAATGGCGATTTATTTCATACTAAAATTAAATAGTTTTGCCCAATGTACATACTTTTTGTTTATTCTTATAGTCAGTGTTAAAGACACGTAAACAGCACCTTAAGACGGTAAATCTTAAAATTTCCATAATTGTAATAATTTGAATCTAAATACATTTTGATTTTGTAATTTAACTTGAGTTTTATACCAATAAAAGGTATATTAACATGAAAACGGTTGTTTCTTAATGGTAACATATTTTACTCATTTTTGATGATATTCTATAAAGTGCAATTGTATCACTTATGAATATTCTATATTATTGATTGATTGATTAATTGATTAATTGATTGATTGATTGA